ACGCCCGCGCGCGCGGGCCGTCGTGAGTCCATTGCAACAAACGTGACGAAGTGCGCGCGCGTCGTTGCGCGCGTGCCGAAACCCTTTCAAACAACCTCCGGTTTCGTTGCGAGCTCAAAACCGAGTGTCCACCACTACATACAAAAACGCATGGTTTCGAAACGTCAGTTGCCACGAAGAGCCGGCGCGCGCTTTTGCGACATCTTGGGGAAACCACGGGTTCATCAACATGCCCAACGCCTTCATGGAAGTATGCCAAAGGGGCCCCTGGCGTCGCATGCCGACATCATTGGCGCATGCGTGGCCGCGACCGCGCGCCGGCGGCGCGCGCGCGTCGAACCCCCCCCCAACAAAAAAACCTTCATCGCCGACGCGAGGACGCCGTCGTGGTCGTCGGCGCGATCAGCATCGGCGCCCGCGCTGGCCGCTGCTTCGCCCCTGCCAACGTCGTCGTCGGCATCGCCGCCATCGTCCCCGCGTCTACCGCTGTCGACGTTGCCGCGACGCCGCGCCCGCCCAAGTCGCCGACCCGCAGTGAAGCGCCCGCTGGGATGCGCCCCGCGGTCAGCGCCACCGCGGCCGCGCGCTGTCGCGGCCGCAGAGATGCACCAGCCAGCGCCAAGCCCTCGTCGCCATCGCCGCCGCATGGGCCTTGCAAACCAAGTCGCGGGTGCGCGGGAGGGATGTTTGCGCGAGCAGAGGGGTGGGCAAGTCCAAAATCAACATTGGTGGGTTCTCCTTTCTAACCAAATGACCTGTGCCCCCCCGGCTTTATCGGTCCGCGGCCGCGGCGCCGCGGCCGCGTCGGCGGCGCCGGACGAGCTGGTCGCTGCGCGCGTGCTGGGGTCGATCGCAATAGCTGCCGCGTGAGTTTTGCAAACCAGGTTGGCGGGCGGGTGGGTGCAACGTTTGCAAGAGGGTGGGATGTGTCAACTCGTTCTTGAAAAGCAGTTACACCACGTATATTGCATCGCAAATACTGCATCACGTCAATTCGCTCTGGCGAAAACAATATATTCACCCACCACCCGGAATTATCGCCCCCCCCTCTTCGTATGGCAATTTACCTATGACTCTGCCCCATCGTCCATCCTAGGTATGAGCTCGCACCATCCCAGGCAAGCCGGTTTCCACCCCCCCGTCATCCTCTTCTACCAAAAAACCATGCGCATTCGTCTATCAAAAACAATCAGTTGCCAAGAGCCCCTCTGCAAAACAGTTGACGACATGTATACGCGTGCGCCGTCGCGCGAGCATGCCAAAACCAATTCAACGCGCGCGCGCTGTCGCAAAAACCGTCTGCACACATGAGACGAAATTCGCTTGCGCGTCGTCGCGCGCGCATGCCGACATCCATCAAAAACCTTGTAGGCTCCGTAAGCATATAAAAACCGAGTGCCGCGAAACTACGCATGGCTTCGCAACATCAATTTTCAAGAAGGCCTCTGGTCGCGCTCTATCGAATTCTTGAAACAAACATCGGTTTTCCGGACATGTTCATTCAAATATGCCAGACAATGTTCTCGCGCCGCATGCCGGAATCATCGGAAGCCCTTGCGCGCGTGCTGGGGGGGGGGGCACGATCCGTGTCAAATAAAAGCATGCGGGCCATTGTCGCGCGCCGTCCGCGCGCGCATGTCGAACTCCTTCGAAAACCTTCATCACCGACGCGAAGACGCCGTCATCGTTGCGCAATCAAGATCGGGGCCGTCACTTGCGGTGCCGTTGCCGTTGTCAACATCGCCACCAGCATCACTACTATTAGAATCGCGTCTACCGTTGTCGACGTTGCCATGATACCGCTTTTGCGTCGACCGCGCCAAGCTAGCTGGCCGCTGTGCGCGCGAGCGTGCGCGGGCTAGCGCGGCCGCAGAGATGCACCAGCTAACACCAAGCACCCATCGCAATCGTCTCGGTATGGGCTTTGCATGCCAAGTTGCGGGTGGGTGGGTGGGACGATTGCGCGACGAGTGGAGTCGACACCTTCAAGTTCGGCAGTACGAAATGCACTACATAGATTGTTCCACGTAGATTGTACAAACAAGCTTGCTAAAAACACGATGGTTGGGCCCACGCTGGCGAACACCTCGCTGTATCGTGTATACAATCGCCCAGCACTGCTGGCACTTGGGGTTTTTACTTCTTTTCTATGGAGCTGGGCCTGCCCGTCTGCATGGCGGCCACGTGGTCGCCATGACCGCCCTGTCGCCGCCTCGCCGCCGCCCGTAATCAGGACCTGCCCGTCAGTCTGGCGGCTATGTGGTCGCCGCCGTCGCCCCGTCGCCGTCTGGGCATGCGTTAGTTTGCGCTGGGTTGCGTTACGTCGCGTTGACATATATTTAGGTGCGTTGCCTGTTTCGCGTTAGGCTGCATGTCGTTTGACTGTTTCGCAGTATGTTGCATTAACGCGCCGTGTGTTGCATTGTTTTGCGCTGCGCTGCTCTGCGTTGCTTGGAATTGCGTCGCGATGGGTCTCAGTGTTTTCCATTGGTTTGCAGGGCTGCGTATTGATATACATCTATTGCACCACCTGTATTGTACCGCGTTGGTTGAACCGGGCAAGGAACATTGTGCGGATCCTATGCTAGCATATATGTGAAACGTATACATGATAGCCAACGTGGATCTCAAAGAGCGTGCTCCAACACCAAAAATACGGTACAGTACATGTGGTGCAATAGTTGTGGAACAATATACGAGGTTCAAGCGATATTGTGCAAAACGTGTGGCGTAAGTTATGTGCTGCAATATACGTTCTACGTTGTGAAATTTATGCGGTGCAATATGTATAGTGCCACCCACGTGGTGCAAAACAAAAAAAAACAATGATAACCAAAGTGACCCAATGCGCAGTAAAGAATACCAGTGCCAAGCAATGCGAAGCAATCTCACGCAATTCAAAGCAATGCGTGGCAATTCGAAGCAGTGCAAAGCGGGCGGCGACGAGGCGACGGGCGGAGACGAGGCGGTGACGGCGGCGACATAGCTGCCAGAGCGGCCCGCAGGCACAGACGTTGGGCGGCGACGGGCGGCGACGGGCGGCGACGAGGCGGCGACATGGCGGCCAGAGCGACCTGGAGGCCCAGACGACGGGCGGCGACGAGGCGGCGACGGGGCGGCGACAGCGGCCACACAGCCGCCAAACCGTCGCGCAGGCCGTGTTCCGTCGACAATAATCAGGAGCCCATAGGGCGAGCACTGCCTGGGGACCACATACACGATACACGCATGTGTGCGGACCTCCGCCCGAAGCATGGAGCACATGGTTTGTTGAACTTCTCACGCTTGCAAGCCGATCCCCGACGCTTTTGTTTGTGATGCGACCGATCATTCATACAACCAGGCATCACACAATAACAATCAAGGAACCGCAGAGCAGTACGCGATACCTTGTAGGAATACCCCGAAATATTATAGCACGCCGCAGCGGGGAAACCAGGAGGGGATTGGAGAGCAGACTGAGAACGGAGAGCGCACAAACGTCCGCTGAAAGCCAAACCTATCCCAAATCAGATCCACTCACTACGCTGTGCGTGGTGGCAGCTGCATCCGTAGCATCATGGCCACGACGTGGGCGTCGCGGGGCACCCCATGGAGGTGCAGCCCTCCGTCTCATCCGGCCTCCCACGATGCTGCTGCGTCTCCCTCACGGCGCGGCGTGGCGAAGGAGCGTTCGACCCCAAATGTTCTTGGCCGCGGGCGGGTTGGTCGATGGGCCTGGGTCATTGACATTCAGAACTTGAGCAGGGACCGACCGTCAAGGCATTCCTATAGGCCTACCACGAAGGTGTTCCATGACCCCAGAATGTTCTAATCACGAAAACAACGTCCTTCGAACATAAGCCCGATGTGTTGAAGCAAACCAGTCTCAGCCAGAATTGTTCTAGCAACATTTCGTGCAGACCACAAATGGTTCTTAGAACATTCTTCGGTAGGCCTGTAAGCAAGCTAGGACGCTTCGCCACTGCTTGACTTGGCCACGGGCGGATTGGTCGATGGACCTGGGTCATTGATCCTCAAAACGTGTGGCATCGCAAACGTGCGTTTGTCCACCGGAGCCCTCTAGTGCAACGAAGGCGGCGTCGCTCACGAAGGCCGACGCCAGCTGCGCGCTATGCATCGGCGGAACGAAACGGGGCACACACACACACACACACCTTGGGCGAATATTAGGTCAGGCATGTCCCCTTACAAGCGAATCTTGGACACAAATTAAGAACAGTCAAAACATGCTCAAAAATAGTCAAAAAACATACTCGAAGAAGCATCCATGGACTACGTTTAGACGTTTCTCAAAGATTCCTCCTGTAGAGGGACATGCCCGACATAAGGCTAACGCGCGTCGCCCTGAGGATCCTCGACTGGAGCTCGGAGGCGGCCCCCAGAGGCCGAGATGGATGACGCGAGCCCGCGCGACCCGTTGCCAGCGCCCGGAGAGGCCTGCGTCCATCCCTCCGGCCTCGCCCTCGTCCCGTCGACGCTTTCCCATGCGCTCTCGCGGTGCCGGCCACCGCCGCCGCACCATGTCATGACAGGCCTGCTGGCTCCCAAACCGCCCACGCAATGCCAAACCCCTCGCTTGCGCACGCGCCGGGAGCGTGCAGGTCGGGCTGGGCCCCCGGCATCACTCGAGGGCCCCACGGAGGCCTGCATGCGCAAGTCCCCGGAGAGGCCTCGGGGGGGCCCCCGGCAACCCTGCGAGGGCCAAGATACATGAAGAAATGACGGCACGACCATCATTGAATTCCCGACTGTCCGTGGGCATTCTTTGGATTTACGCTGGGCCCCGCCCCGTGGGCGCGCGGAGCGCGCCAAGGGCGGCGGTGGAGTCGCCGCCGAAGGAGCCAGCGCAGATCTACGAAATCCGCGCTGACCCTCCAACGTTGCTGCTTCTGCCGTTTCTCCTTCGACTTACAACGCCGCCCCGACCGGCGAGCACTTTCGAGGCCGCCGCTGCCGCCGCGGGGCCGGCACACGCCCTCCCCGGCGCGCCCGCGCGCCTGGCGCGGGGCACTCCCCAGCGATGGCCACCTGCCACAGGCCGTGTGCCGCGTCGCCGTGCCGCCGTGCCCGCCGCCGCCGCCGCCGCCGCCGCCGCTGCCGCCGCAGCCGCCGCTGCTTCCGAGAGGAGGCAACAGCTCCTGCCACTCCTCCCTCCTCCTCCTCCTCTTCCTCCTCCTCCTCCTCCTCCTCCTCCTCCTCCTCCTCCTCCAGGGACACCTTTTGGGCGTGAATTCCCGGAGAGCGATAAGTGGGGCGGGCAAAACTGCCCTCTTCGGACCCTGTAGGCCCCCCTGCTGGGCCCGAAAGGGGCCCCTTTTTTTATACGGCCCTCAGGACCTGAGGGCCGTCAGGAGAAGGGGCACCTGAGGCTCAGGTGCCCCTTCTCGGTAGCACTCGCTGGTCCCCCATTCCCTGAGGTGCGCTGGCGGTTCTTTTAAACGCCAACACGATGGCAATTCTTTTTTTGTCGGCGTTTTTATTATGTTCCTAACATATCGTGTAGACTAGATTTGCAATATCTTATGGTGTCAGATCATTTTTTCATAGAGTTATGACGTGTTGCTACGGTTTTACACAAGATTTACAATATTGTGTACTCGCTGCTGTTGCGTACGGTATATTGTACATAAGCGGGTGTTGTGTGATTCTTCTGGTTATACATTATTTTGTTGCTTCACATGCCTCTGGCCTCTACGGCTTGCGAACTTACATTGCGAGCTATAGGCCAAGTTTGAGAGGAGGATCGAGATTCAGCTCGGACCCCGAGGGTAACGATAGAAATAGGAGACAGGATAATGTAAGAGGAAGAGGAGGATGAGGAGGAATAGGGGGGGGAGGAGGAGGAGGAGGAGGAAGAGGAGGAGGAGGAGGAGGAGGAAGAGGAGGAGGAGGAGAGGAGGAGGAAGAGGAGGATGAGCAGGAGGAGGAGGCAGTGGACGAAGAGGAGAAGGATGAGGAGGACGAGGGAGGAGGAGGTGGAGAACGACGAGGGAGGAGGGTGAGGAGGAACAAGGAGAGGAGGAGAAGAAGGAATACGAGGAAGAGCGGACCGCAGAAACAAGCAATAGACAGTACAGGCTGGACAGGAGGCTGGAATGATGAGGCAACCCCCGCAGCAGAAGGGGAAGCAAACGCAGCAAACGCAACGCAACGGTATTCTGGCTCCGAAGTCGAGGATCGGCATCCTCTCGAGGCCGTGCCTGGCCGAGGCCCCGCGCGCTCCGTGGTTGATAGCGGGCTCATGTTGCAGACGCAGCCCGACACCATCTCTTCTGGCAGTGCGGGGGAGAGCCGCGAAGCCTCGGCTTTGTCGACGTACCCCGACAGGCTGCCAGGGTTCGGAGAGCCTGGGTGGGAGAATCTTCATCATGTCGGTGTGGACAGGCCAATCTCGATCGGCGATGCATCTGACGACGAGCCGCTTGCCAAGTACAGGAAGACGAAGAGCGAGCTCCCAGAGGAGGGCGACGGCGTGGCTGGCCTCGAGCCCCCTGAGGACGCGCCTGGCCCAGGCGAGTCCGACGACGACGCGCGTGGCCCAGACGAGTCCGTCGACGTCGCCGAGGTCGAGCACGGCAGCGAGCCACACGGGCCTGATGCAGATGACGACGCTGACGGGGACCCTGCTGCCGATGACGGCGAGCACCGAGGCGATGGCGACGGCACGGTGCTCGGCGGCAGTGATGACGGCTTGATCGACGGTGGCGGCATTCAACTTGGCAAGGGCTCGGTCGACGCGACGGGTGGGAGCACGCTTCCCTACGAGTCCGCGCAGGCTGCGGCGCTGCCCTACGGAGACGAGCCTCGGACCCCGCCGCCCAGAACGCAAGCGCTGCGGAGTGAAGTTCATTCGTTCTGCCAGGACGTTCAGAAGTCTGCAGGCTCCCTTGACGAGACGCAGGTGCACGCCTCCCTGAAGCGCCTGTTCGGCTCGTCGGCCGTGAGCACGCTGCTGAGGCAGAAGCAGGTCGATGCGGGGACGCCCGAGCCCGTCTCGGCCGAGGAGACTGCGCAGGAGAAGGCCTAGGCGATGCTGTGGGCAGAGGTGAAGGCCTTACCAGCGGGCAGAAGATACGAGGAGGAGGAGGACAACGAGGAGTAGTGGTAGGAGTAGGAGGAGGAGGAGGAGGAGGAGGGGGAGGAGGAAGAGGCGGGGGAGGAGGATAGGAGGAGCAGGAGGAGGAGGAGGAGGAGGAGGAGGAGGAGGAGGAAGGAGGATCACCAGGGAGGCGGAGAAGGGGGAGGAGGAGGAGGAGGAGGAAGAGGAGGAGGAGGAGGAAGAGAAGGAAGTGGAGGAGGAGAAGCACGAATGCCGAGGAGGAAGATCATGGCGACGACTACGATGAATGCAACTCGCCAGGCTGCGAACTTCTACTTCATGGCGAAGGGGAAGCAAGGCAACAGCATCGCTGGCGTCTGGGAGCGCCACAAGAAGGCGGACATCGAGGGCGTGGCGACGCAGTTCGCCAAGATCAAGGGCCGCGACAACCGGGCTGAATTCAGGGCGAACAGGGCCAAGGAGCTCTACGCCAAGTACGAGAAGAAGACGACCAAGACGACATCCGTGGAGCACGAATGGGTGAAGAAGAGCTCCATGGTCACTATTGGCCGCATGGCGTGGAAATACGGCGGCGGCCCCGAGGGGTGGAGAGCGGCAAGCACTAGGTGTGCGAAACTCATTCAATTGGGGAGCCCGTTCGTGGAGTGGGAGGAGTCCTCGGAGACGCTGCTCTTCGCGTACGTCCAGAGGGAGATGAACGAACAGTTCGTCGAGGTTTGGACCAAGCACGAGACGTTGTTGCAGAATGCGGTGGTGAACGATGAGGCGTCGGACCAGGCTCGAGCCAGGAGGAGGAGGAGGAGGAGGAGGCGGAAGGAGGATAAGGGAGGATACGAAGGAGGAGGAGACGGGGGAGGAGGAGGAGGAGGAGGAGGAGGAGGAGGAAGAGAAAGAGCATTAACTTATCCACCCCTTCCACGAGGCCCAGCCGCAAGCCGTTGCAGCTCCCGCGGCTTCGCTGGCGCAGGCAGTGCCCAAAGCGCGGAGGAGAGAAAGGAATGATGGAGGAGGGAGAGCGAAGGAAGAGGATTGAGGAGGGAAGAGCAGTCGGAGAGGTGACCAAGAGGAAGTAGGTCAGAGGACGGATGAGGCAACATCTGGGCAGACAGGAGTAGACACGAGGACGATGGGGTGAGGAGGAAGACAGAGGAGGAGGGAGACAGAAGGGGCGAAGGATACATGATGAAAGAGGGAGGCAAGAAAAATAAGGAGGTGGGGGAGGAGAGGCATGAGAGCGGTGAGAGTAGGAATTGAAGAAAGGAGCCGGTGGGCGAGAGTGTGCGTCCGCCAGGCGAGCGGCCCCAGCAGCGCAGCGGCGGCGGCGGGCATGCAGACCGCTTCGGAGGGGCTGGAATCCGAGCAGGGGTGGGGTTATCTCACATCCCGTCGCGTTGATGTTGCAGTGACGTTGCATTGACCGTACACTGACCTCGCATTGACCTTGCGTTGACTTTGCATTGACGCTGCGTTGACCTTGCATTGACCTTGCGTTGACTAACCTCGCGTCGAAATTCAATACGATATTGCAGTGACGTTGCATTGACGTTGCATTGGCCTTGCATCGATACTGCATCGATCTTGCATCGAATTATGCGTTGCTATATGTATGTAGATGGTCATTACACTTCATCTTTCCGCGAACAATCCATTATCACCAACATCCTGATATGTTCATCGTCCTTTTTCGATCCTGGAAGTCATCCGTATAGCCGGTTTGGCTCGTCTAGCTCGGCGAGCCTGTCGGCGCGAGCGCGCTCGCATGGCTGCGGTCGCGAAGAAGCCTGCGGGGAAGGCCCAGAAGGGCAGGCCGCCAGGCAGCGTGACCACTGAGATCGACGAGAGCACTCAGACACTGATCTTGCAGACCTTCGAAGCTGAGTTGGACGAGCCCGAGTCGGCCGAATACGGGCCTCAACAAGACGAGGATTCACTGCGCCAGAACGCTAGGCTATTGACGCGGCTGAGGTCCATCACGAATAACAAGATCCCTGCCAAGAGCGTGCTCCAGAAACTCCTCTTTGAGTTCGCGGGCAATCAGGAGTCCTCTCCAGGTTGGAAGCTCGCAGATCAAGCGGAATCGTAGAGTGAAGGGAGAGCAAGATCGATCCACTTGATGCTGCAACACGTGGCGAACGGAGTGCGCAAACCCCCGATACCGAAGTGGGCCAACGTGTTCGCACGGTCAGCTTGTGCCCCGAGTGCTGCATCCGAGCTCGCCGAGGGCACCAACGAGGACGGCGAAACGGATGACGGAGACGCTGCAGGAGATGAGGATGCTCATGATGAGGCTGATGAGGAGGCCGAGGAGGAGCACAAAGCTGAGGACCCTGCAGAACCTGATGAGCCAGCACAAAATGAATCACCAGCTGTGCTAGTGGATGCAACGGGCGAGCTTGTCGATGGGTGGTTGGTCGGCTGGAGCAAGGAGATGAAGGCCGATCGTTCCGACACTCGTTGGCTGATTGTGATAGTCGGATGCTCACGTTTCAGTTCGACTGGATCCGAAACGCGTTGAATCGAATCGATTCGATTTGGTGGGGTTTGAATCGAGTGGCCGCTCGATTGCCTTCGAGTCAACGCGAACCGATTCGATGCGATGCGATGTTATGCGATGCGATGCGATGCGATGCGACGCGGTCCGATCCGATTCGATCCGCTTCGACTCGACCGAGCGACCGCCCAGGCAGCTTGGAGGAAGGACCCCGACAATAAGGGCAATACAATCGTAGTCGAGTACGCCGCGCTCAAGACTGAGTGCGACAACTCCTACGCAGTGTGGCCTGGCGGCATGAAGCTCAAGGTCCCTGACGAGCTCCAGGAGCCAACGCAGACTAAGGGGCGCGTGCTCGAGCAGACAATCTGGTCTGGCGAGAAGGGCGGTGCCAGGCTCGAGGCCAAGTGGACGAGGAAGCACGACAAGGAATGGATCACTCTCTGGAGCACGAAGGACAAGCAATTGACCCAACATTTATCTCTCACTGGGTACCCCGACCGCGAGACGGGCGCCAAGGTGATCTCTGAGATCGGCGACTTGTATGTTGGCGGCTACGACAAGCCGCAAATAGAGGCGGAGAAGGCGAAGCGTGGTTACGGCAAGAAAGGCGCTCGCCCCAAGGCAAGTCTGAAACGTCCAGCTGCGGCGCTTGACGCCGCATCAGCTGGCGCGGCACCCGCCGAGGCCGCGGTTGAGCTGCCTCCCGAGAGCAAAGCTGCAGGTGCCCAGATCAGCCCCCGTAAGAAGCCAGCAGCTGCCTCCGCATACAGCACGCCGAGCCCGAAGAAGCAGAAGCCAGTCGTCGCTGCAGGTGGCGGTGCTTCGCCAGCGGCAGCCCCCTCGGTGCCCTTGGCAGAGGAAGAGGCCCAGCACATTTCCACGAGCCGCCCGCCCAACATGACGAAGGACAAGGACGCCCACCTGGTGATCCCGCCGCTTCCAGAGATCCCTGAGATCCCCTGCTTCGACTAGTGGCGTGCAACTCGGCACGTAACAGATCGAGTGCGTTTGAAGGGTGGCTGGAACCTGTTGAACCAGTAGCAGTCAACACCATCTCGTGCATCTCCACGTCAACACATCATAAACATCATGACGTCGTCGGGCCATACCCAACATCACCAATCCCAGCATCGTCACCATCATAAGATGCGCACCACCAACATCATCAAGACCACGATCGCCGTCAACATCGACAGTACAATGACACACCCGTTGTTTGCTATGTACGCAATGCAAAATAAAACAAAAACCCTTGGAGGGATGCACCCGAGACAAATCAATCTTACTTGACTGTGTATATTGACGCTGCCCCTTTACACGCAGGGACGAAGTGCATTCCCCCGTGGCCCCACACGCACATCAAGAAACGATCCCAACGCGTGCAGTCGTGAGCAGAAATCGAATGGACACTCTAAATCAGGGAGGGCACCAATCACACCACTGGGGGGGGGTCGCTGAGTACACAGTGTGGCATGTTCACTTGACTCTATATATATATACATATATATATATATATATATGTCAGAGCCTTCAGATGCATCTCACCGTAGCGTTCCTATTATGATCTGATCTTGAGGCCTCTGGAATTTGTTCATGCCCCCGTGGGAAGCAAGAAGGGAAGAGGCTGACGAAGGCGGAGAAGGAGGAGGAGGGGGAGGAAGGACGAGGGAGGGAGGATAGGGGAGGGAGGGCGAAGGAGGACGAGGACTGAGGAGGAGAAGGTTGTGATGGGGAAGTGCGGTAGGAAGGAGGAAGAGCGGGAAGTCGTCGCTTGCAGGGACGGGTGCGAAGAAGAGAGCGCAAGGGTGAGAGGGGAGGCAGCTGGCAACGCTGGTGGCGCTGGTGGCGCTGGTGGCCGCCCTGTGGCTGGTGGCCAGGACACGCCGCGAATCCCAGCTGTTGCTGCCTTGCCTGCGTTATGAGGCCACGCAGCGTGTGAGAAGTGCGCCAAAATGGGGCGGGGCCGTCATGCGAACTTTGCCACTGGGTCCTATTGTGGAGCTCCCTATGAGGACACACTGCTTAAGTTGCCGCCCACTTGACGAGGGTGACTGGATACAAGAAGACTGACCGAATGATGAGGAGGAGAACCACGTGGGATGGGGGAGGGGGAGGAGAAGACGGAAGAGGATAGTGAGAAGGAATACAAGAAGGAGGAGGAGGAGGAGGAGGAGGAGGAGGAGGAGGAGGAGGAGGGGTGTGCCATCCTCATTTCAACTCCTGATCCTCCTGCCCCGTCAACTCCTCTCCTCCCTCCCTCCTCCTCCTGTCCGCTTCCTTGTCTTCTCCCCCATCCGTCCCTCTCTCTTCATCCTGCTGCTCCTCCTCCTCCTCCTCCTCCGCCTCCGTTCGTTTTTTTCTGATCAAATCGTTGGCAAGCTCCGCAGGAGGTCGAGCCGTCAGGCAAGCGCCAGAGGACGAGCATGGCCGCTGCCGCACCGCCCGCACAGCCGAAGGCTACAGGGAAGGCGAGCGCGAAGCAGCCAGGGGCGCCGCCACCGACAGCAGTGCCGAAAGGCAAGGCGAAAGCGAAGGCTGCAGGGAAGGCTGCCTCCCAGGCAGCCGCGAGCAAGGCTGACCCCGTGAAGAACGCCAGGGCCCTGTACACCAAGTGCTCGCTGGTGACATCGCAGGCCGAATCGTTCCTCGATCAGCTGACCAGGGACGAATCGTGGGCTTTCGCAAGGAAGGCTGACATGCAGAGCGATCTAATGAAGTACGTGAATGACCTCAAGGACCTGAAGAGTAGCAACGCTTTGCTCCGCGAGGTGTTCTCCGTCGGCCTCAAAGCTTACGAGAAGTCGGCCGACACAGCCAGCTTCCACCAGGCGGTGAGCGACATCAATGAGATGGAGTGCCAGATCTCGCAGGTGGAGTGTGAGATGGCCTACCTGATTTAGGCCAAGGAGCTCAGGGAGCAGAGGATGCAGGCCACCGCTACGGCGTGAACCTCGAGTACTGACGGCTGCCACAGCAAATTGCCCCCCAGCACCAGGGGATCGGTGCAGAAGCTGTGCCATCGAACGACGGCATTTTCTTCAGGCCTTTCTGTACACTCATTCCAGGGAAGGTTTAGGATGATATCAGTTTTTGCTTAGCTGAGGTCTGAAACTGCACATGATATGATCATGTAATGTGTGACAATCGTCGACGATGGCGCAGCACGCTCGGAACTTTAGTAGGCGTTCGCATGCAATCATTGCAATGGGTGCCAATCCTGGCATGCAACCTCGGGGTCGCACAGGGCTTTGGCCCGTGCAGTATATAAGTTCCGCATAGGTCAAGCACGTGGCGAGCTGGAGAATTCTCCGTCATCTGGGCAATTTGAGACCCAAGGACGCTCCTCGACAAGCGCCGAGCCGGTTTCGTACGCATCTGCAGCAGTGGCAAGCCGGCGAGAACGCACTCGACCCCTGCCAACCCCCCCCGACCTACCGTTGACTTTCCGTTGACTTTGGACCGTTGACCTACCGTTGACTTTCCGTTGACGTTGGTCAGAAACCCTGTGTTTTTACAGGTTTCGTGCGTTGACTGTCCGTTGATTTTGGACCGTTGACTTTCCGTTGACCATCGTTGACCTCGGTTTTCGTTGGGCCGACGCGCTCTAAGGGGGTCCCTGGCCTACCGTTAACTGCATGTTGGCCTTGTGTTGGCCTGCTGCTGACCTCGCTGGTCAGCTGTTGACGTAGAAATGGTCTGGTCCGAGGTAAGATGGTAAGAGAGGACAGCGTACGATGGGGTCTGAGTGCGCCACAAGCGGCCAGATGCCACTTTTTTTGCCAGCGCGCCCGAGAGGCGCTTGCGTCGCGCCCAGCGTCAGTTTACACTTGCTGCCACTGGCAGAAATCTTGTAGTTCGGGCGATCCAGTGGAAATGTCATTGCAATGCGATGGCATGGGGTGGGGTCAACTTCTGTATGTCCTGCTGCAGGGCAGCGAACCCACAATTCCTTTCACGGTCCCGATCCTCAACTCGTCTCCCTCCGCCCACCCTCGGAGTTGGCGGGGCAGGGGTAAGTGGCCTCTGGGAAGTTATCTTGGGCCAGGTTGCAGGCATAGTTTTCAGTATATAGCTGCACTGGCTCTAGCTTCTCATCATGGCGCCCAAAGCCAAACGACGGAGGTGCTTCTCCGTGCCATGGGTTCCTGGAGGTGATGCTCGAAAGCAACAGGCACGGCGGGAAGCAGGGTCTGAACTTCTGAAACACATCCTGAGTCTGTACGCTTCGGCGAAGTTGTCGGCATATGATGTTCGCGTTCTATGTCACCGTTGCCAGGTTGCTGAAGTGCCAGGTGGGTCGTTCAGCATCTACAGTAGCGCCCCAGGAAAGCAGAGTGGGTCTTATCAACGACACCTCGATGCAGTTCTCCCAGGCCCAGGCGATCTGTGTATGGTGCCAACTCCTTGCAACGTGAGGCGGGCAACGACGCGATCGATTCGAGACGCCCCCTTCCGACCGATCTGGGCGTCTGTTGCAGATGAAATCGAGACTGACCCGCTGAGCCTACAACTTGCCCGCGCAGACCCCGACGACAGAGAAGAAACCGTCTTGGACCTCCCTTGTTATCAGACCCACCCTGCGGTGATAGAGGCGGAACGGGATGGAGTTGACAAACCAATTCCCCATGGGGTTGTGTGGACGGGGTGAGCTACACGTCTAGCGTGGGAGGGAGGTCGGACACTATCTTGGGATCCTGGATCATCAACCTCCTGACGGAAAAAACGGCACGTGGCGGGCGCTCTTCTGGGCTCAGACAAGTGTCTCTGCGGTTGTAGAGGCTGGTGCTCTGTGTACCCAGGACTGTTAGCACTTTCTTGGATGTGTCAAGCATTAGTTTCGGGGCAGTCCCCGACCAAGCGTCACGGCGGCACTGCTTGGGACCCGAGCGACCCCTTGTCGCAGCGGAAATGTTTTGCCAAATGTTGCCTCCTGTGGATACGCCAGACTATCGCTCGATCCGCAACCCAACTGGAACGCCAACGTGCGAAATAAACGGTAAGGTAGACGGGCAAAGTAGACAAGCAAGATAGACGGACACGGTAGACGGTAAATCAAGACAACGTCAATGCAACGTCAATGCAAAGCCAACGCAAAGTCAATGCACGGCCAATGCAAAATCAACGCTGCATGCACTGAACATGCACGGCATATCCAGCATCGCCAACGCGATCAGGCAACGCAAGGAGCTGGACCTTATACGCCTGGCCCACGCGGCTGGTGGATCAAAGGGGATTGGGCCGAGCACAGCAAGACGCTCGGATTAGCATCTTGGGCAAATAAGTTTTCGCCATGCCAATATTGCAGCTTGCCTACAGCATGCCTCCACGAGCTTGATAACATCATAGGGGCAGACGAGCTGCCTTGGCCGATTCGGACAGAGTCCGAATATGAAGATTCGCGTCAGATGTGTGAACTGTTTGTGAAAATCGAATCCGAAGTCGAGAGGCGGTCATTCCTGCAAGTCCTAACCTGGACTGAAAGAAAAAACAACTGGAGGACGCGTGGTGAGCACACAAGTCGTTGTTTCAGGCGTGCAGTTGTAGCCTGGGGACCGCGTTGAGCAGTCGCCAGAGTTGTGCGACATCGGTGCAATAGACACTAAGCCCACACCTTTCTTGGTTACATTGTGGAGAGTTCGGAAAGCTGGGGACGCAGTCATAGATCCAGTGATGCACAAGTGTCTTCTTTTTTCAATTCAATTATCAACTAGCCCATACCGCACGCTCGCCATCGATTCATTGCGTACAATATATTACGGGCCTGTTCAGCGATGGACATGCAGCGCATTCTGGAAGCTCATTTTGAAAAACCCATGGGGCATCCAAGGCACTGAGGAACAACAGAAGGAACTGGGCTTGCGTCGGCTTGTCGCCGACCTCCGGAACTGGGAAGAAGAAAACAACATTCCTTCGAACCGTCGGGTGTCGCAACTTACGTGGGGCCTGCTGGAGGGTCATGAGGAATGTAACGCTCGCAATTGGCAACATCCAGGTGGACCCCAGAAGGCAAAAGCAGGTGAAACGGGAGTGTTGTTGGACTTTGCTGTTTTCGAGCTGCAACAATGTTGGGGCGCTGCCGTGTTCACTGAGGCGTTCGTTATGGCTGGCAGTGCAATGATGCAATTCTTGGGAATGGTCAGGACTTTGGGAGTCGTTGTGAACCAAGAAGAGCGGGACCAACTTGTTGGTTGTTGTGGGATATTCTTGCGTGCGTGCGAGGCCTCTGGGGTATTGCACGTGCCGAAGCACCACCTCGCAGTGCACCTGGCGGACAGGACACGTGGGACACCCAAAATATGTTACGTGTGGACGGGGTGGGAGTGGGAAGGGGGAGAGGGGCCAAGGTCGTAACTAAGTGACGAACGTCGTCTGCACGCGGTATCCGAAGCTTTGAGCCAGAGCTGGAAACGTATTGAACCAACATGGCAACGCTATAGGTCCCCGCTCCTGCTCCTCCTCCTCCTCCTCCTCCTCCTTCTCCTCCGGTTTACCCTTGGGTCATCTTGGAGGTCACGCACGCCCACGTGCTCACGCGCGCACGCTTCACCACTCACACACGCATACGCATACACACAGCCTAAGCCGAGAACGAGGATGATGAGGAGGAGGAGGAGGAGGGGGATGAGGAGGACGGGAGGAGGAGACAAGACAAGACAAGACAAGAACCCTCGGATCCATAGAGTGCCCACTGACGCAAGCGCACGATAGTATACACACATACAGCATGCACACACAATCAAAAGTTTGGATCTGGGTGGCCGTGAATTGGCGGTATCGCTTCTCCGCCCTGCAGGTTGGGAGAACACGGGCCAAAGGATCGCCCAGGCGGTGCTGACCGCTCGGAGGGGGTCCCTGGCACTGCTCTTCATCCTGCAAGGAGAAACGTCCAAAACTCAGAGTCGAAAGTGAAACTACCTACAGGGCGGGCCGCGGGCAGTAGACCCCAGGAGAGACGAGGACAAGAAGGAAAGAGGGAGGCGGCCACTCAAGCGTGACCTTTGCTACGGCCCTTAGCCCGCCCCTTAGGTTTAGCTCGGGGCTGTGCTACAAAAACTCTACCCACATCCTGAGGAATCCCCTGGAGCTGAAATCTGCTCGCATCCTGAGGACAAGTTGAAAGCGAAAAACCTCTCGGGCCCTCACTCCTAGAAACCTGCTCACTAGGCGGTAAAACCCCACGCGCCTGAAGCTCTTGAAATCGTTCACTGCCTGCAAACGCAGGCGGCACAGAGACGGAAGCCCTCCCCTCAGTCGTTTTCACTCCTGAACGCTTGGCCTCTGCACCTCCCCCCCGTCGATTTCCAGCTCCTACTTCTGGTACCGCTCCAGCAGGCGGGCGGCGTCCCTCTCCAACGATCCTTTGGGCGCAGCCCCATGTTTGCGAACTCCCCCACTCGCCTTGAGATATTTCTCGATCGCTGTCTCGAGCTCGCGATACTGGCTGTCGATCGCAAGGGTGACGCGAAACAGCTCGGGTTTGTTCTCTACCTTTTTGGTGGGACGAACTCGGCACGCTCGAACTTCGTTGGACAACTCCTGCACGGGCTTTTTCATGATCACCTGAGTCCAGTACTGCTCTATCACTGTCTTCACATCTGGCGGACAAGCTGGGTCCGTGCCGATGCCGTAAATCAGCGCGCTCCAAACGTGCAAGAACGGGGGGCCGAGATCCTCTTTCTGGCCCGCTTCGGACATCTTCTGAACTTTGGTGTGATATGCCACTCCTGCGGCCTTCGCCGCCTTCACGGCGGGGTTCGTGATGCAAATGAGCCACGTCTGGAACACGACCCCGCACACTTCGCGCAGCTCCGCTGCGTTGCTCAAGGCGAGCCTGGTCAAAATGACGATTAATTGCTTGAGAATCGCTCCCTTCCCGCCTCCACCAGCAGCTTGAGAGGCGTCCTCCACGAG